TTATGATTGTAAGGGCACTGATAAAATTGGACAGGTCAAACAATAAACTGCAACGCAGCAACTAATAATATAGTTGAGTGAGTTCGTACGGTTCAAATGTGAATAAAATCAACTTAAGGAAGCCCAATAAAATAGTGGCTTTTGCAGGGTAAAAGAAAGATGAACTGTGACAATATTTTGAGTAGTATTAATATAGACGATAACTTTAAATGATTATTTGATCAAATGATGTCGTGTGTAACCAAAAACCTCTCCTGCTTTGGCGCATGACCGGGCTTCTAATGATCTCGATAAGCAATAATTAATTCACAGTTCATTGAATCACTCCAAATTTAAATAACCATTTTTGAAACAATAGGTTTTTTTGAAGATTGTTTTATTTACAATGGAATTTGTGTCCCATATATTTGATGCCATAGGTTGCGAGCAGCTGATGCACTTGGAAATACCGCCACCGAATAACTGACCCGATAGCTTTTCTGTTCAGATTGAAGTAACAGTTCAAAGAGCGCAATTTAAAGTATGACATTGGTTACAGCTTATCAGACGCGCACCAAATGGATGCATTTGCCTTGCTGGTTTATCCGATGTTGACTCTGAAAATGTTCGATTGAATACGACTAAAAAAGTGCATTTTTCCTAATTAGACCCTAAACTATGTAAAACTGTTATCAATGTCCTAGTTCTATGAGCTACTACTAAGTTCGTGCGTGATACACACTGTTTGAGAATGGATTAGTTGTTTGTTGATGAGTTCTCATTTCAACTATTTGCCAAGTTTTTCAGGGCAAACGAATAATCAATTCATGAAAGAACAATAATAACAAAACTATTTTTGCCTATTCTAACTGGAAACACCTTCAGTTGGAACAGAAACTTTGCACATCACTGTTGACAAATTGTCATGTGTTTGCATGATATGATCTAACGTATGTCACTTTGATGCTCGTATCGATTTTTGACGATTATTCAGTTGATTTGCGAAAAAAAGTATTTAAGAAATTCGAAACCAATGTGTTTTTATATCACTGTCCCGTGCAAATATTAGCAATAATAAAAGGTGTATAGAAAATGAAATGAATACAAACCTCAGTGTAGATGTTAAAAAATATCTTTATTGCGATACGTTGCAGTGCATTGTAAAAACAGGTTTATCGTTAAAGTATTACGTATTTGTGATAAAAAAACATTTGCAAATAAAAACAGTAACAGATCGACTTACAACAGCATATTATATAACTGTATAGATAGTTCAAATCACCAAATAAACTTTGAGAGTGACTAGTTTATAATGCCCTCGGTAAGTGCTTTGTTTCTGTGAGAATACGAAGATGTGGAAAACTAGTTGAGAATGTCAAAAATTCATTACCTTGCTGAATGTGCTTTAATGTGTGGTATTGTAGAGGAGATTTGGCAAGATATATACGAGATTTCAGTCAAAGAGAAACTGGCGTTGCAATAACGGCAAAAAATGTTGCGAGCGAAAAAGAGAGACTACAAAATGACACCCATTAATTACTGCATGAATCATAGATCACAAAACGAATTTTCACGTTACCAGTCAGAATCCGCTGAAGGTAAAAAATATAGGATTTCCTGTAATTTTATATGCAGGATGAAATAAGCTGATTAATATCACTGACGGACGAAAGCGGTTTACGTGCCTATAGGTTGACTTGTAGTCAGTGGGTGTTGTCAGACAAAGGTTTGTTTGGATACTTAAACAGGCATCAATATTTCCGTCACAAACGTCGTTCGTTACAACAAGCAGGAGAATATGTGAAACACGTTGCATAGTTTTGGGGTCTACAACTCAGGAACCTAAAAGTTAGATTTGTACGATAACAATCAGCGGTAAACACATCGCTGAATGAAAATCCTTATCAATGGCTAGTCAGTAAAAAAGTGATGCAATCTTCGAATTTGAGCAGAAAGGTTTTTTCGGTTGCACTCAGCATTCTGAACGTTTGAGGTCAATGGAAACACTTTCAAAGGCCATATATGAGTACATGTATTACATAACTGACTCCAACCAGCAGCCTTGAAATAATCTTCAAGCGTTCGGATGGAGACGATGAACCGTTTAAGGTGAAGACGGCCTATAGACATTTATTATTGTTAATATGAAGACCAGGTGAAATGAGGTGTAGGGTCAGAAGAACTGTGGTAGGATTGAAAGTTTGAAACTGGGATTGTACAGACACGGAAATGGGAATGACAATCAGACCAGCATACTTGAATTGACAATCATGAGGAAGTAACGGTTCATTCGTTAAAAGAAGTTGCAAAATGCAACATCGTGTAGTGAACCGAATTATTGAGTGATAACGTTTACTGTGTTTTTCTAACTCGCATTACTGATTTAGTTGCTGGTGGTAATCCGTTAGACATGCAAGACGAGATGTGAGATGGTCAAAATAGTGTCAGAAGATTCTACCTGAATTTCCTAAGGTTTTATAACGTGAATAAACATACAGGCAAGTTGTAAGCAAAACGTTTGGTTCTTTCGGTCACCAATTCACAATTGGGCTTTATTTGAAGGATAAATCATATTGTATATTGGAATTCAAGTCCGGAAGAGAAATATCACAGACTCGGTTAGGGGCTAAGGTGTGATGCACATGGACAGATCATTTTTAGGAAGATCAAA